TAAGACTTAAAAAGAATTTTTTCAGTCTTAATTTTTAAGACTGGACAATGTTAATTGACTGGACAATGTAAATTTTTTAATACTACAATTTTTTTGTAATTGTAGTATTACATCTGTTTAAATAGTAATGGCAAAAAGCATGCTGAACAAAAATGTGAATAACAATTTGAACACAGAACAGTTAAAAAGGCAAGGGCTTTTTTGTATAATTTAAGGTTATTGAAGAAAAGCATTTTTTATCCTTGGAAATAAATGGTTTCATTTGAGTCTGATAATATGAGTAGAAGTAACAGCAATAATAAATTATTCTTCAAATAACACTTTACTTTTGGCAGTAAAAAATAATGTAATTTCCATTTAAGAATGGGCAGAGTTAAAACTACTGAAGTGACGAGGCTTTCATCAGAGTGTACAGACAGATATTTGAAACGGTCCAAGTCTGTCACCTGACTGGACTGAAGTGTTGACCCGCATGTTTGGTCCAGACATCCAGCTGTGTAGGCTCTGTAATAACACCGCACTGCACGCTTCCTGGACATCCCCTCAGACATGGTGCCATGACAACTAATACCAACAGCGCTCAAACACAAACAGACTTACACTTCTTAAATACCCTGAATCCACCACATAAGGGGCGCTGGGAGATCAAGACCCAAAGGCAATGTAACTTTAAACCTGGTGGAGGAAGGTTAGCATGAGGAAAATAGGTGAGAAATGCTTTTCCGTGTACAGTGAGACTGTTATGTGGTAAAACTACCCCTTTAGATAAAGTATCCTCACCAAAGGTAAGCAGAAACGTAGGACTACGGTCTGGGGGCAGGAGTGGTGTTAAAGACAAAACTCTCCTAAAAAAGCTGCTGTTTATTTATCAGAGAAAATTGTTACGAAAAGCCTTTGGAGACTATACTAGAAGGTGGAGCAAATAATAATCATGACATATTATGACATGTCATCAATTATTGGGGTTAATTTCTACCACTAAATACATGTAATGTGATATAAGGTATTCTTAAAAAAATAACATAAAATCAAAATTTGGGGACCTTCCCATCAGGAAGATCTGGTGGCAATATGATAACTACAAGAATGTAAATACTACAGTTACTGACAGCAATCTGGAATAAAACGTACCCATCAGCCATTCTTGTTGCGCGCCTAAGCGAGTGTGAGAGAATGGTTGAGTGTATTTGATGCCATATAGGCCTATCTGTCAGCAGAGGATTAGCTTGTAGGCATTCCACGTAGAAAGCCATCTCAAACCAATATAGCCTATTTCTCCTGTTACAGCCTTATGATGCTACCAAGAAACAGGAGCCTTTCACAGCCCACATAGGGTATGGGTGAGCTATTGTCCCCTGCTGCAGTGCTTAGGCTCCCTAAATTTACAGTTCGGTCCGGTAGCATTGTTGGCAGCCACATTGCTGCCAACAATGCTACACGTTAGCAAGGCTACAGCTGTACTAGTAAAGAATTCTAAGGCTAATCTGATCCCAACAATGTAAAAACCATTAGACAAGTCAAGCTCAGCAATGTCCTTGGCTGGACTTTTTCCACCCTCAGTTAGTAAAGCAGGATTAATGTGGATGTGCGAGTGGCATTTTGTGAGGTCCTAAGATAAATGAATGGAATTCAAACAGGAGACCAGTTGCGTGAAGTCTCACAATACATAGGCTAAGTTTCAGCAATGTGACTTTTTATTACATCTATGACAAATGTTTTAAAAATCTGGGCAAAAACAAAGTAGTTGGCTTTAAGGTGCTTCATTTCACAACATTTAAAGTAGTGGTTAGTGGTTCTGACTTCTACAGCTTTTGTTAACACTAGATAGAATATATAATCATTTTGGTACAGCCACAATGACAGTTGTGACCTAGAAATTTCTTTTGCTTAAAAAACAAAACAAAAGAAAAAAAAAACAACTGAGACAGCCAGACAAACACAGACAGCAGATTTATTGATACATAGACAGACAAACACATACACAGAGGCATGATCCACACCACAGGCAGCTGTCCCTAAACAAGTTAATATAGCAGGCTGTTTATGAGTGGGTTGAAATTTAAGCCTGACACGAACACCCGCTTGGCACAGCCTTAATGAAATCTTGGGCTGGGGTGAAGGTAAGTTCAGTGGGCTCTCTGGAAATGCCGCAACAAGTTCTTAATTTTTCTCTGTTAATTAAATTGGTTTTGAAACCTTCACCACAAAAGGCTGCTCAGTAAGCAGCAAGTAAAACTACTTACATCTAGCCAGTTATGAGAGAGATGAGTAACTACAGGTTTTTGACTCCATAACAGCAAAGATTAAATGCTTATACTAATATAAACATGTTTTGACAAAAACCTAGAGTTTTTGACAATGACTAAACCAAAGTGTTACTTCAGCAGAATGTTTGCACAATAACCATATTGAGCAGCAGCTTCACCTGTCACAGACAGACACAGCAGCTGCAATTGTTCACACAACAGTGGCACTCCATGCTGTCTGACATTGGCCTTTTAAATTGAGTAATGACCAGTAAACGTA